TGAGTGTTCACTCACTCATGCACTCATTCATTCACTCACTCGTTCACTCACTCACCTGCTCACTCACTCATTCACTCACTCATTCACTCTCTCACCCACTCACTCACCCACTCACTCACTCACTCACTCGTTCACTCATCTGTTCACTCACTCACTCACTGGTTCACTCGTTCTCTCACTCACATGCTCACTCACTCACACGTTCACTCACTCTCACCCACTCACTCATTCACTCATTCATTCATTAACCCATTCACTCACTCACTCACTCACTCACTCATTCAGCATTGATGTACTGAGAGTTGGATATACATCAGGCTCCAACTGGTCTCAGGGGAGACAGCTCTGGGTAAGGTGAGGGTGTCAGAGAAGTGGGGTTGGCACAGCTGGCAGATATCCCAAATGAGGCCTAAGGAAGAGGAGTTAGGGGACATGAGGACTGCTGTGGAATATTCCTTTACACTGTGTGGGCTAGGCGTAAGAAAGGGCCCCCATATAGGGAGAGATACTTTGCTCAGCTTAGACATGCCTAAACAAGACGATGGGACAGACTTAGTACTCTTCCTAGGGGATCAGATGGGAGGTCGGGTGGGGGTAAGTAGAAGGAGCAGGAGGAGAAGAGGGAGGGGGAACTAGGATTGGAATGTAAAAAAATAAATAAATTTTTAAAAAGAAAAGGCCTTCAGAGGGACACTTTGTGTCTTCACAGGACATGAGGGACCCAGACAGCATAATATAGAGGTGAGATCATCCAGGGCCTGGTGAGAGTCTAGCTGAGCTTTCTGAATGTGTTGACCTGTCCTAGTCTGCACTAGAGACAGGCCCTAGAGCTATTGGACAAGGCTTGAGAGGGAAGACTGCAGCCCCAGAGGAGCCGTGACTGCACTGATAGGAACGTGTGCATTCACCTGCACACAGAGAGAGCCAGGGTAGCCATGTGAAGGAGGCAATGGGGCAATAGCCCCAAATGGGTGCTGGCAGTAGACCCAGCAGGGCCCTCAACTCCACATAAGCTATTGCTCCTTCAGTGGCTCCCAACAGAAGCCAATGGAGGCTGTGGTGTCCAGATACTCCCACCCTGCCCCAGGCATCTGAATTTCAGATGGGACTCAGGTACTGGCTTAAGGGGCCTCACTTCTCTCTGTTCCATCCACAATCCTTCCAACTACCCTAAGAGCTCATCAAGAGTCCCTCCTTCAGGAAGCTCCCCAACTTCCTATCCACCAACATGTAATAATAAGAATGTACCAGGAATAGTGGTACCCAGGGCATATCCTGGGGAGTGGATGCCTGCCCAGCATAGAAAAGGAAGGATGCCTCCAAAGGGTTTCTTGTGCTCTTTCCTGGGATGAGCAGGAAAAGCAAAGCTTTGGCTGTGACCCAGGGTTCTGGGGTGAGTGGAGCCAGCTTCCTTAGAATTAGTGACTGTTACCAAGTGGCCAGTTGACTGAGACGGTCACTTCCATCCTCAGGTGTGGATGAAGACTGTGTGCATTCACTCACTACCACAGAATGATCTGAGGCCCATGACTCTGGTCTCTATTTCAGGGGGAGAGACTTAGGCAATGAAAAGCTTCCTAGGGCAGCCAAGGTCACAGGTCTCTATTTGGCTGTACTGATCCAAAAGCCAAATGTTCCCCTGACAACCCCGAAACTGCCCCCAGCCTCAGGACTTGGGTCCACTATGGCACCATATCCCACTTGTGAGCACTCCTGAGCCCTCACTGGACACAGCAGGAGATAGAGTGGGACGTAGCCAAGCCATCCACCTTAGCACCTCACCCCAAGGGTAGGGCCCACCTCAGTACTTCACCCCCAAGGGTAGGGCCCAGGAGTCTATGCTGAGAGGCCTGGGGGTGAGGAGTGGTTGCATTTGCAGACAGGAGTTGTCCTTGGCCTTACAGTCTCTCAGGCCATCCCCATGCCTACAGTGACAGCTGCCAGTCTCCCTGGCTTCTGTGGATGAGATCAGGTGTTCCCCTTAGCAGGAGTCCATACATACCTTAGTCTAGATTGTCCTTAGTTTTCCAGAAGCTCCTGAGGGGGTCCTAGCGAGGGAAAGTCAGCATGATATGGACCCAGTAGAGGTTCTGCAAGCCAGGCAGTGCCTCCTCCTTAAGTCACCACACCAGGCACCACACACCTGCCAGAGCCACCTCCTTCCTCTCCAGACTGTGTCCAATGCTGCTGGCCCGGGAGCTGCCACGTGCCCCTTTCCTGCCAGTCCAGCCAGTCATGGCAGGAGTGTGGGATGGAGCAGCCAGGCCCCCAGCCTTCTCCTCCTGCTTCAGAACAGCTGTTTCATTAACTTGCCCTCTGGCCCCTGCGACTCCCTCCCTCATCTTCCCAGGGATCAGGGCACAGGACACATGGAATGAGCACTCAGCCACAGGCCCAAGGTCTCAGACATAGGGCCCTTTCTGAAGGCTGCAACAGGGTGGAAGGGGGCCCAAGGAGGAAAGGCACTCTGCAGAACCCCCTCCCCCATAGGGGAGCCCTCTCCTGCAATCCCACAGTTACCTATGGTCTTCCCACCTATTCCATGGTCCCTTCAGCCCAAGGCAGAGGGAGGTCCCAGCTAGCCAGCAGTCAGTTCCAACCCTGCCAGAACATTGCCCCTCCCTTCTTTCCCAAGCTGCATCTGGGTCTAGCTGAACAGGCCACCCACACCCATGCTGCTGCCCCAATGTCCCCGCCTATAACTAGGGAAGGAATGCACCTCCCACTACCCCAGCTTCCTGGCCAGCCCAGCTGGGGCAGCAGCCAAGTGGGCAGTTCTCCTAGCTGGCCAGAAGATCAGGGCTGTGAAACCTGAGCCTAGCTCTGTGGGTGACCCCCCTCCTCTCATTTCCTTCCTCATCACTAACCGGGGGGACTCCATATTGCTGTGGTGAACCTGGGCATTCTGTCTCCCCATGCTTGCCTACCCTGGTTCCCCAGCCCCTGAACCAGCTGGCTGCATGGGTAGACCATCCTTCCTTGAACTGAGGCCCATGGTGAGGTCATCTTGGCACAAGAATGTGTCTCCAACTCCAGCTTACTCGATCCTGGGACCAGACAGAAAGTTCACTGTCCAAGGAAGCCAGCAAGGAGTCTGTGCTGACTTCGAGGGGGCTGCCTTCCCCCCTCCCCGCCCCATCCTGCTCTTTAGATCCCTCTCTGTTTCAGAGTCCTATCTTCCTCTGACTGCTGGGAATGCCTGAGTCCACACAGGCCACAGAAGGAGACAGACAGCTGCCCACAGTCTGCCTATATGCAGGACATTGCATCCATTCCAGACAGAAGAAGATACCTGAGTGAATCCGGAAGAACCAGTGTGTTTCAAAACCTCTAGATGCCCAAAGAATCAAAGGAGGAGCTGGTACCAGATGGGCCCCACTTCTGCCCCAGGTGGGACAGAAGGATGGAGATTTTGTGTGCAGCTCTACTCACCACAAAGGAACGCCCAA